GGAAGGGACGGAGTAATGAGTGTTGGTTTGGATATAATGATCAGTCCTGGAGTTTGTACTGCACTTCCTCCAGATACTCATTCATTCACAATAACATATGGACTGATCTCCGTGTAAAGTCCATCAGCAGTAGAATAGGAGTGTTTGTGGATCACAGTTCAGGAACTCTGTCCTTCTACAGCGTCTCTGACACAATGAGCCTCATCCACACAGTCCAGACCACATTCACTCAGACGCTCTATCCTGGGTTTAGGGTTGGTTATAAATCATCAGTGAAACTGTGTTGATGAATCAGAATAGATTGCTGAGAGATTCTACCCATAATGCTTCGAGCTGCTTGATAAATCAGTAACAGTGAGATGCTATAGAGTCTCTTCTCTTCATTACATTAATTCTGCAGCTGAACTTCTGTCACTGAAATAACGTGTCTGAATAAATGTGTGTGATAAATCCTCATAGACAGTAAGAGACAGTAAGATCAGTGTGTGAGTGTGTGTGTGTGTGTGAGAGAGAGAGAGAGAGTGTGTGTGTGTGTGTGTGTGTGTGTGTGTGAGAGAGAGAGTCATGCTGAGTGACAATGTGTATCTGTGCTTTTCTCAGCTTTTATTTTTTCATTGAGTTTATTATAGTATCACATCAATCATTTTATTATTACTATCAGTATTAAATTCAAATGATCACACAGTCAATAAATCATTTTCGTTGCCCCTTTCATTGTTTTGTGTTCTTCTGTCTTTTGGTGTCACAGGCCGCTGTTTTTATTGTCAGGCATTTAATTGTTAACTATGTCTCAAATGTCCCAACAAGGATAGTAATACCAGTAAGTTTTGACATTTAGGGTTAGGGGTAAGGTTTGGGTAAGGGGATAGAAAATACAGTTTGAACAGTATAAAAATCTTTATGTAATTTCTCCACAAAACATGTGTGTGTTCAGTAGTTCAGTAGTCACCTCACTGGAGAAGCAGGTCAGCTGACCTATTAGCAGAGCTGTGTTCTAACTGTTTATATGTAATCTGGATTACATAATCATTCCAAAAATTTGGTATATTTACATTTATTCATTTGGCAGACGCTTTTATCCAAAGTGACTTACAGTTGAGAACAACAAGCAATTCATCATAAGATGGCAGTGAACATGAGAAGTGCCCGTTATACAAGTTTTCAGTCATCGTTGCAAAACAATAAAAGCTAGGACAGGAAGATATTAAAGGAAAGTAAGAGCATAGAAAAAGTGAAAGATATGAGTTTTCAGTTGTTTCTTGAAGATTGTGAGGGATTCTGCTCTCTGGATGGAGTTAGGTAGGTCATTCCACCAACAGGGTAGAGTGGAAAAAAAACCTCCTGGAGAGTGATTTTGTGCCTCTCTGCGATGGCACCACGATCCGCCGCTCATTTACCAACCTCAGGCTTCTGGAGGCGATGTAGACGCATAAGTGCAGGGGAAATAGCTTGTAGGAGATGTGAGGAGATTTGGGTCTAGAGGGCAGGTGGTAGGGTAACTGGAGAGGAGAAGTTTAGAGACTTAATCTTCGAGAGAACGCTGTAAAAAATGCAACTGCATATTTTCCAGTTTAAAAACCTTTCGAGTCTCAAATATTAAAAATGCTATTTTCTTGAAACTACATAAAAACCCTTGTCAGATCAACAAAATTACCCCAAATGTTGTCCCAACTAGTCAAACACAGTTGTGTGAACAGAATTTCATATTGTTGAAATGTTAAGGCTTTGTGAGTTCCCAGCATGAATAAATGATGCAGTTACTGTTATAGGATTATTGTTTTGCTGTTTGCTGACTTCATTTAAACTTTTTGTTGTTGTTTTGTCATTATTGTTGGTTATTTGTTGTACTGTAATGTAAAAAGCTCATCTTTTTGAAAATTGTTGATTGCCACCGTTCTTGAGGTTTGAGTGTCTTGAGGCCTAGAGTATGTTCAACCGCTTATATCTGCATCCTGGATATTTTAGGCTTGTAAGATGTTTTATAAACAAAGACAATGTTGTCTACATGTTAAACTAAGTTATCCATTAAGGTTTCTATAACAATTCACTGTTTGTCATTTGTAAATAAACATAAAATTGATGATGAAGAACTAAATACCTATTATTGAGAGAACTCAAAAGTCTTTGCATCAAGCTGCCTTTTTTTTTTTTTTTTTTACGTTTTCTCAACTATTTATTTTTTACAGTGAAGGAGGAGAGAAGATGACTGCTGATGCATGTTGTTTTATTAGTGAAGTTATTAGCAAAATCATCAGCAGTTAAAGTAGTGGCAGAGGAGGATAAAGGAGAGTATTGAATATTTTGAAGAGTTTACGTGTGTCTGATGCGCTGTTGATCTTGATATGGAAGAAGATAGTTTTGGCAGCGTGCACTTTGGTGGAAAATGAAGATAGCAGTGAGTTTAGTTCGATATATACATCACAATATATAAATCCACATTGTGACTCCTTGAATTTTTTTTATTATAAATAGAAACCTTTATGGTAATTTAACATTCATGGTATGACAAATTAAAACATTTAATTAAGTATAAAATTAAGGTAGAAAAATATACATCAGCATTTTAGATATTAATAAATACCTTCTTCAACTATAACAGACCAATTCACAGGTTCTGATAGATTCAGGGTTTTGTGTGACCTAATACCATATTGCTGTGAATTTACCATGAGTTTTTTTTTTGTAATTTTATTCAACGTCAGACTTCAAAACGACTTCTGTATCATCACCTCTTCATTTGTAGGTGTTTTCTGATTTCAGCAAAAAAGTTGCTAGTTAGTTGAAATGCCCATGAAGCCTCGTCCAGCTCATGTGCATGACACATTTTTCATTATAGGAGATTTTTATTAGCGCTGGTCTTGTGCTCAGAATAACACGTCTGTCCTTCTAGGTGGGGAACATTTCTTATTTATGGATCTTTATCCCAGAACTGGCGGGTTTGGTGGGAAGTGCAATGGCTTTCGTATGTGTGCTGTTTTTTCAGCTTTCATTTTCGTTTTCTAAATAGATCACGTTAAGCAGGGAGGGGAAGGGGGTACAGTAACTCAGTTGGGAGGGCAAGGCCCGTGAGTCGCTCAAAGTACAGTCACAGTACAGTTACTCAAGGCTGAAATCAATGCAATGAGAGAACGCCTTCAGTGTATGAGTGTGTGTTCAGTAGTTCAGTAGTCACCTCACTGGCTGGAGTAGCAGGTCAGGTGACCCATCAGTGGTGGCTCCTGCCAGCCAGCTGAAGATTAAAAAAATAAATCCGACAGTGTGATCTTGAAGGAACTGTAAATCTGGACACAGTATTCAGTCTACAGTACAAGTGTAGTAATGAGATCGGACCACACAAAGATATGATTTTTTTATATAAGACTAAATATGCTATGCCCTTAACCTACAAACCTACCCCTTACAGAAAACTTTCTTATGTATATACAGTTGTGGTCAAAATTTTACATTCACTTGTATGTAATGTTAATTATTTCACCAAAATAAGAGGGATCATACAAAATGCAAGTTTAAAAAAAAAAAATTATTTAGTACTGACCTGTATAAGATATTTCACATAAAATATGTTTACATATAGTCCACAAGAGAAAATAGTAGTTGAATTTATAAAAATGGCATCGTTCAAAAGTTTACATACGCTTGTTTCCTAATACCGTTTTGTTACCTGGATGAATTACAGCATTTTTTGTTTTGTTTAGTGATAGTTATTCATGAGTCCCTTGTTTGTCCTGAACATTTAAACTGTCTGCTGTCCTTCAGAAAAATCCTTCGGCTCCCACAAATTCTTTGGTTTTCCATAATCTTTTGCATATTTGAACCCTTTCCAAAAATCACTGTATGATTTTGAGATCCATCTTTTCACACTGAGGACAACTAAGGGACTCGTACACAACTATTACAAAAGTTTCCAATGCTCACTGATGCTCCAGAAGGAAACACAATGTGTAAAGCGTTAAAACTTTTTAACAGAATGAAGATGTATACATTTTTCTTATTTTGACTAAATATATGCTTTCATTAAGTACTGCTCTTCAGAAGCTACAGAAGATACTTGCATGTTTCCCAGAAGACAAAATAAGTTAAATTTACCCTGATCTTCAAATTCAAAAAGTTTTCTTAATGGATTCAAAAAGGGTCTTAATGGATTGTGTTTCCCTCTGGAGCATCAGTGAGCATTCAAACCTTTTGTAAATATAATAATATTATAAATAAGAATATTATAACATTCTTATATATAACATTATTATATAAGAATGTTTTAACATTCTTATATACAGTATATGTAAGAATGTCATAATGTCGGGGCAGTCGTATCCTAATGGTTAGAGAGTTGGACTTATAACCCAAAGGTACAGCACTCTCTTCCACCCTCAATACCACGACAGAGGTTAGACCCTTGAGCAAGGCACCGAACCCCTAACTGCTCGCCGGGCGCCGCAGCAATATGGTTGTCCACTGCTCTGGGTGTGTGTTCATGGTGTGTGTGTGTGCATTTGGATGGATTAAATGCAGAGCACAAATTCCAAGTATGGGTCAACGAAAGGACCCCAAAAAGTATTCAATTTCTGTTTTCACTACCTTTGTGGGGACATTAGGACCCTACAAAATAGTATAAACAAGGATGAGAGTGTGTATGAGTGTGAGTTTGAGTATGTGTGTGTGTGTTGAACTAGTTTCCTGTTTCTGTGTTTGAGTGATGTGTGTAAAACAGTTTTGTCTGCAAGTCTGTAATGAGGGTTCCTCATTCCTGCTCCTCTAGAACCACATTCATGCTAAAGGTTGGTTTCGACAACTCATTGTTATTAAAGTGTGTGTGTGTGTTCAGTAGTTACCTCACTGGCTGGAGTGGCAGGTCAGCTGACCTATCAGTGGATGGTGGCAGGTCATGCGGCTCCTGCCTGTCAGCTGAAGATTGAACCCATATTCCTTTTAGAAAACCATTAGTGTGATCATTGTAGTATATCAGTGCATGTGACGTCACTGTGAGTGTATGTTCCTACAAGTTTTCCCCCTTGGCCCGCTCCCCGAGAGTCCTGTGTGATCAACATGTCTGCCAGCGCATTGTATATGGTTGTCATTAAACCCATAACTTCTGGAATTGCAGTCTACATTTGTGTTACATTATACGAGTCAAAATGGTGTCAGAAGTAAACTACGACTACATGCGCCAGTGAGGTTTGTCTCCATTGGAAAGCCTCCAAGCATATTAACTAGCTGCTAAGCTACATAAACAAACACATTGCATATGCCATGGCAGAGGAATTCCGTCAACCAGATCCTCTCATTTTCAATGAAAACATTGCAGAGAATTGGCTGTATTTGAGCAGGAGTTTGATATCTTTATTGCTGCATGTTTATGGAGATAAACCACATCACAAGCATTCATTCTCTTTAACCTCACAGGTCCTGAAGCCATCGAATGTGAACAGTCCTTCGTTTATGCACAGGAGGTGAGAGCTCCCGGTGAGAAGGCAGCATCATTATTACACCAGCTGAGTCCAGGGAAGACCCCGGCTGCTTAAATAGAAA